TGATAGCTTGCCAAAAAGAATAATTTCACAGGGAGTTTGGTCCCCTTACTATCTTTCAACCAAGTATATTTTTCAACAATAATTACTCCAGTTACTTTTAGCTGCAAATGATGGACTATAGCTTTAATAGATAAACATTTTTTGTCATGTACGTGAACTCGCTTGACCTTTAATTCCAGGTCTACTATAAGGCCAAAGATTGGTGAATATAAAATACAGATAGAATCCTAAAAAATAACAAACCAAATTTCTTCCAAACAATTTTACAGGATTATGATAAAACCTAGTATGAACTTGGAACCCGGTACGAAAATGTTAACAATTTTGTGATGTCATCATGACGTCACCAGGTATTTAAAGGCGAAATTTGACAAAATAGTTTCAGCTATATCTTTTGAACCAAATAAAGTATTATGTTCACTTTTTTTGTGAGGTTGTAGCAGATGCCTTGAGCAACATTTCTTATTCCTGGGCACAAAACTGACCTTTACTTCCGGTGTTACCGGAAGTGCAGTAGAAGTTGAATTTAATTTTAAAACGGAAGCATTTCACTGCAGCCAAATCATTATGGAAGTGTTAATTGAGGAATGCCCAACTTGAAAAATAAAGGGCGCCCTCTAAGCGGCATGCAAAAGAATGTGTTTTTTTTTTATTATTATTTTGAAATCAGAGGTCTTTTGTTTTTAGCAAAGTGCCCATTAATATTCTTCAGACAATAAGTTGTCTTTGTTTCAGGAGAATTCTGAAATGCCTTATTTTTTTAGTGAAAAACCCAAATGTACTTTTTGAACTCGTGGTGATATGATCTCTGCTGCAATAATATCAGTCACAGTTGTCGATGCTTTTGTCTGGGTACGGTAATTATCTAACACGAAGTGATGGTGTAATCAATCCGTAGACTTTTATCTTGTTGTATTTTGTTTATAATTGGAAGTCTGTGTGACCCGGTAAAGTGCAGCATCATTTGACGTAACAGGAAATGATGTGCCTATAATGGAAGTTTGGAACATAAAACAGATACATTGTTATTACTTAACTATTGGCAAGTTCATGGGAAAGAATATCCAGTGAAATACTGTATATAGTTTCATTCTTAATCATCCTGCATTGTTGCTGCAGGCGCATTTATGCATGTTTAATCGATCTACATACTCTCTGAAGCAGAATGCTGATGAGTATTAAATCATTCATATCATAACAGTAAATCATTCATAAAATCCAGGTGTGAAAAACATCATTGTTGGTGTTATTATATTGAGCAGATGAACTGTTGTTCATAAAACATGGACACCAACATTTCAGTTGTGACAGGGATGCAATTATTTTTTTGTGACTTGAGAAATGTATAGCTATAGTGTTTTACTTTATCACATTAAGATGCATGTCTAGAAAACTGCTGTTGAAGTTGAAAAATAAAAAGACCACAAAAAATTGTATATGTACACCATGGATTATTAACAACAGATGAAATGAATTACAACAGCTTAAAAATATTCATCACATGGTATGACAGCCTCATCTTTGAAAGTAACGGAAGGGTTGGAGGTCCAATTATGAGTTTTTACTACATTATTGGAATTCTTTCATAGGGTAATAAGGCCCCCCAAAAAAGGCTCCGGTTTCTGGTATAAAGCTTGCCCAAAAAGTGGTGTGGTTTTTTTTGTACCTGATTTTTTTGCTTCAAATGTCGGGTGATGACTGCAAATGGTGCCCGACTAAACTTAGTGCAAATATATGGGAGTCCAGAGGCCACATAAAGCTTATTCTCGACCATAACCCGATCTAAAAACACGTTAAAATTGTGCAGCAGCAGGATTCCAGTCAAACCAGTGAGTTTGGCGGTTTTGAGACATCATCTTTCATTGAAAAAAAAACTTTTTCATTTTGCCGGTGCGCGCATACCAGAAACCGGAGACTTTTTTTTTTTGGCCTAAACAATTTAAATTTGTGTATGCATGTGTATAAAATTTAAAATCTTAAATTTTTTTCATGTTTTTTCCCCAAAATCCCACTGAAACAGCAAAAGTATTGTGCTATGCCTAGAGCTTCTGCGACATTTACATGTACACAATGTACGCATAATTTTGAAACAACAGATCTGAAACTTACACAAATTTTAATCCTTAAACATTTTCAACAATTAAGATCAAACTAATAACCATCCTTAATCTATGATAATTAAGTGAAAACATGACAATAAAAATATCAACCTTTGAACATACCTCTGACAGAATAACACGGCTGTCTTGGCTAACCCTTCTGCCTTTACCCAAGTTGATCCGGGTGAGCTACTTGAACGCACCTTTAATTGAGTGCACTGCCAACAGCGCCCTCTAGCTCTGTTATCCTGGCAACATTCATAACATTTTAACTTCATTCAAGAAAAAAAATCCTGAAAATGAGAATATTTTTTTTGTATTGGACAATGCATCAACGATGAACATTTGGCAAGAACAATTTTTAAATATTTAAAGAACAATATTTCTGGCCATAATCAAATTTTCTTGATTAATTTCTTTTAAAAACAATTATATTAGGCATCTTTTAAAAATTAGAAATTGTGCTTTTGAAACAGGAAAAGTTTTCTTGTGCTAAGAAAAACCTTACACAAGAAAATCATTTTTGGCATTGCTTGAAATTGTGTTCTCACTATAGAAAAATATTCTTAAAATAAGAAAAATATTCTTGCAATTGGAATTTGACTAAAAAAAATAGAACTCACGCAAGAACAATTTTCTTATATCTAAAATTTTAGGCACATGTACCTTTCCAAAACAAAACTTGACATGTTTCTCAGAACAAGAATTATTTTGTTTACTCAAGAATATTTTTCTTGCTTAAGAAAGTCATTTTTGGCTGGGCAGAATGAATACAGAGGAATTGTTACACAAATTATTATTAATACACCATGAACAGGGACAAATTGGTTGACCTTATTATAAATAAGCATCATATAGGCAACTGGAGACTTCCAGTGAAATACAGAATTAGGTGGCATTGAGTTATCAAGTGCGTGTATTCAGTGCCAACTTGATCAGGGTAATAGAGCACTATATGACAAGGCCACCAGTGCAGTATACTTCAACGGCAGCACAGGGGACTGGTTCAGGACGAGAGTTATTCAGTGCTGTGGTCCAATGGTTACGGTGTTCGAATCGTGTGCCGTGGTACATGGGTTCGAATCCTGACCGTGGGAACATGGTGCTTGTGCTCTTGAGCAAGGCACCTTACCATTATTGCTTCGTCCTTTGGATGGGACGTAAAGCCGTAGGTCCCGTGTGTTGTGTAATGCACGTTAAAGAACCCAGTAACACTCATCGCTAAGAGAAGGGGTTTGCCCCGGTGACTACAAATTCGTATCCTTGTGGAGACACACACAATAGGGAACAAAACATTGTAAAGGTCTCCACAGGGCAATTTCTATAGATGAATAGGTCTCCACAAGGTTTTCACGAAATAGATATATGGGTTTTACTCAAAAACTAGGAATTTCCAAGGTGGGTTGATCTGTCGCAAATGGAAGAGTTTTAGAAAAGGGATATTAAGTCCAAATTTCAGCCAAGGAAACTAATTCTGGTTAAAATAAGAGCATTTTGAAACTTCACTTTCAAAATTGAACACTTTACTACACGAGAACAAAGGAATGTCTCCACAAGGATACAAATTTGAGAATGGGTGTTCCTGGCAGTGGCTGCAATGTGCGCCGCAGCACCTTGTAAACCCTTATAAGGTGCTACATAATGGGTCTCATATTTCTCATGAACTTTATTTACCTTTCCTTAATAATAGACATATCTCCAGTGCCTTGAGTACCTAATAGTTGGTAGATACGTGCGCTATATAAGACTCCGATATTATTATTATAATACAGCCAGTCCCATTTTACTCAGGTAGGATGACCATTTAAATCATCCAGAAAGTAACCAACCAAGTTATTGTAAAAAAAAACTAACTTGGTTTAGAGATGTTAATGGCACTAAAACTCCCTGTGAAATTGTCCTTCTGGCATGCTGTCATTTAAAAAAATAATAATAATAATAAAAGGCCATTCCAAAGTTTTGTCAAGTGAAGAACTTTTTGAAATTTCGATTGACAGTTACAGTTTGTAAATGGGCAATTCCGTGAATGGGTGGATTGCAATTATTAGCGAGAATTGTTGGTTCAGTGTGTGACATCACATAGCTACAATGGGCTGATTGAGAATCATGTCTCAAATGCTGATTTTGGGATTGTGTCATGACTCATCTACTGTTGAATTGAGATCAAGAACCAAAATATTGTGTTTTCTCGAAATATACAGCCTTCATAGAGCTAATGTGTCATTAGGTTAGTTGTTAAACACCCCGTCTTTAGATTTTGAGCACTCTCGACGCTTCAAACGATATAAACGCACTAGTGACTAATGGTCTACTGTATTTTTCTCCCGTGAGGATTGGATTACTCGGGCATCATATTAAACGAGAGTTGCTCAGCAGAATTAAAAGATCTGGATCTGCGGTGGCGGCAACTATCTTAATGTAGGGGGATTTCCCCCAATATTGGACACTTATTGTTATAAAGACACCAAGCAGGTCACACATGGAATGCTCATGGGATGGAAACATTATCATTTGAAGTGGTTTTGGCACCTTTATAGCTCAAAATTTGTATCAAGTTAAAAAAAATTTATCTGCAAACAAGTACAATTAAATTGATGATTTGAAAATCTATTGAACTGGATGACATTTGCTATTAAGAAATGTACCAAGAAGTGAAGGGATTGGTGGGTGGCAGTTTAAACAACTAACACTCAGACAACAGATTAAAAGATGAGATTAAAACCTTCAATTATCAAGACCTTAACAATGCTGAAAGTGTTCTTAAATGATGCAACAATCAGATCTGTTCCAAATCCAAACCACAATCACTTTACAGTAATTTTGAAATGAAACAAGTTGGCATTGTGTTTTCTTCTCTTAACTGTTGAATTGGTTGTTTTTTTTCCATTTGTGTGTGTTTAGGCAGGAAGCAGTGATGGTTCCATATGCTTGTACGGCCTGACTCAAGGTAAGGGTCCATTTCACTAAACCTTGTAAGTGTATATATCTGGTGACATAAATTTCACGTACTTCGTCCATACTTAGCTACAACCAGTTTGATTTTCTACATTAATTGCTTCGATATGTCGACCAAGAAAGGGAAAGTCAACGATAAGCAGGCTAAAGACATGCCTGCTCACCTGAGAGCTTCGTCCACAGCCTCGGGATTGTCTGCCTGGTACACTTCGCCTAGGGTTGAACAAGTGCAAATAAGTCACAGGCCCCAGCCTCGCCTTGAGCTGATGTGCCATGTGCAGAAAAAATTGAAAGTGGGCTGCCTTGCTCAATTTCCGTCACCAACAAGGGAGTGTCTTCTCACCACATTTCGAAGAAAATACCGCAAGTATCCAGAGCACCACAGGCTGTACATGTGGTAGAAAATGAGCCCTGACAGACCTCACCAAGGTCAGCAGTCAGCAAGGGCCGTCTTTCTTCCCTGGTCAACAATGGAATTTCCCCTCTACAGCAAGCGATGCAAGCAGGCAGCAGTCATTCAATATGAAGGCGCCCATGGCTCCACCGTATGGGTCATTTCCGTGGTTTCAATCTGCACTGCAGGGGCCTTCTAACGCTACCCAGCAGATGTATCATCAACATTGGGGAAATCAACCCCAAGACAACTCTCACTTCCTCTGCCAGCGAGTCCGATCATTTGGGGCAGTAAATTCTGGCCCTGGTGAGAGCACGAATTTGCACTATCGGAGATTGGCAGCAATGCAGAAACTGAATTGGATTTCCTCAATCCGAGTGGATTTTGTAACTCCATGGCAAGGGATCAGTTTTTCCAGTGACGGATCTTAAGTCTTTTAAAAGACTCTCATAATCGCCTGCTCAAAGCAGTTTTGCATCTGACCAAAAGTCGATTTTGGTTACTTGCTCCCCAAGTCCTTTCATCCCACAAAGTATGAACAAATTCGATTTTTTGAGCGTGGACACTTATATGAAGTATTTACACGAAACGACTCTTAAGACTCTCATAATCGCCTGCTCAAAGCAGTTTTGCCTCTGACCCATCTTTTTGATGCTTTGGCGGATTCTTCCTGCCGAGAGACAGTCGACACTCAGTATAGTTAAAGATCATGTCACCTCGGCATTGATAAGCCAGAGTCTGGCTCTGTCAAGACAACATGCCTTTGATGAGCTGCTTGACAAAAGATATTGAAAGCTTCAAATGAAGTTCACCATTGATGAGGTCATCTTTTTTTGTGGAAATTTAGTCAAGGACATAGAGGATGCAGAGAAAGGAAATAAACTGGCAAACAAAGTGACCAAGACTGCAACATCTACTGCAGGGCCATACAAGGGGAATAAGTTTTCTCATTATTCTGCTCTAAACAGAAGATTTTGGGGCAACAAATCTTTTCAAGGGTGATCATCTGGCTATGCTACCGAGCAAAAGTATGCAGCCTATAAATCTGCATCCTCAAGTCATGGTAAATTCAGATTGGAGCAAGGTTTGTTTGATCAGAAAACAAAAAAGTGGATACTACATGTATTCCTTTCAGTTTCAAGACAAGTTGTCCTGAATATTTTGTTTGCAACTGGAAACCCCTTACAAGAGACAGGTGGATACTTCAGTCAGTTGTTCATAAAATAAAATTTGTAGAAGTTCCATTTCAATTATAGCACAGAATACCTCTAACAGAAATGAATTCTTAATCTCAAGTGGAGATTGTTCAGAAGGAAGTTCAAAAGCTAGTTATTAAAGGGGCAGTCACCGTGGAAGAACCGGTGATTGGACAATTTATTTCATCTTTGTTTTCGGTCCCAAAAAAGTTGGGAGAGCTCCCCCAGTGATAAATCTTCGTTCCTTGAATAAGTTTGTTTAAATACAGTAAAGTCTGGCTAAGTGGGCACTCTCGGGACCCCAGAATTTGTGACGACTTACGCCAATGCCGACATCTGCTGTAAGTCGTCATTTTGCCGACTTATGAATGGCTTTTTGGACACATGATTCATTGCACTAATTGGCTTTGATTTACCCTGGTTTATCTCATTAATGCTTGAGTTGAATCCAGCAAATTAATCCTCGAATTGTATCATGACGTTTGATAGTGGAGACCACGTGTACAAAAAAGTAATACAGATGTACATGCACAGTAGGGAATTAAATGCGTGCGTGGTCTGCGCGCACGCATTGACTGCAGCGCTAGTGCTAGTCATTCAATAAGACGACCCCCAAAATGGACAGAGCACATGCGAACAGACGAGAGGGGGTACTGGTATTGATATGCTCACGATGCATATGCAATGTATGCAGTATGACACTCTTTTGAGACACCGGTGCATGCAGCAATCACGTGCGTGCCAAACCACTTTTCACTCGACACTTCTTGCCAACTGCAGTACAGGAAGTCGATGCCTATGCGTGATTTTTTTGAATGCCGACTTACACAAAGGATTTTGTAATGCTTTTTATGGAAAGGGGACCGAGAGTAACATGACGACTTGAGTGAAATGGCGACTTATAAAAAGCCGACTTTGAAATAAAAAATTTAATGGAAATGCGTTACGGACAATCGGGACTTTAGTCAGACGGCTGACTTGAGTGATTTAACGAGTTGTACGATGTCGATTTAGCCGGAGTTTACTGTATCAACACTTCAAGATGGAAGGAATACAATTAGTAAAACATTTACTCATACCAGGAGATTTTTTTAGGTTCCATTGATTTCAAAGATGCTTATTTTATGATTCCTATTTATCAGGGTCATCAGAAGTATCTTTGTTTCATATTTGCATGCCTCCCATTTGGGCTGTCAAGCCAGTGGCATCGCTGCTCCGAGCAAAGGGAATTCGTTGCGTGTTTTATCTAGACGATATAAACTCATACTGGGCAGGTCTGCGGAAGAGTGCACCAAAAATCTCCAGTTCACGGCAACTACACTTCAGGAACTAGAATTCAGTATGAATCAGGAAAAAAATCATAATTCCAACCTAGACAGCAAATCACATACTTCTGGTTTCACATCGCTATTGGTACATAATCTACACATCAACCACCTAGAACTGTTGTTTAGTGGACTATACCCTTGGGGCATTGCTGAACCATCGACGCAATCCGACTACAGAAAGACAACATGACAGTCATGTCATACATCAGCCACAAAGAGGGGACTCATTCTTGGGAACTGTCATCCTTTGTAGAAAAGGTCTGGACATGGTGACTGCACAGACAAATAACATTGTCATAAAGTACCTTGACCGGGATATGTTATGGATGAAAATTGAAGGGACGTGTTGATGACACCATCACATGACGTGAGACTTCACATTAAAAGTGCCTTTTTCTCTACAGACCTGTATGCCTGTTTTGGTCATAACTTGGTGTGTACCTAGATAGGGATTTTTTTTATAAGATTGGAGTGACATTATGATGACGTAATCGATTGTCACATGATGTCGCATTAAATTGGCAATTTTGAAAGTCCTATCTCCAATACACCAAGCCGCATTGGCTTTTGACTTTGCATGTACACAGACAGGGATCTGTTAGGAACATTTTAGTGATGTCATGATCAATTGTCATGGAACATCACATCAGAGGTGCCATTTTATAGGCTTGCTTATTTTAATGCCGTGTTTACAAATCCTTGTCTCATCTTCATGTAGCTTCACACAAGTCCACAAATCAAAACAACCCTGTTTGTAACATGACAAAGGCATATCTAGTCTGTATTTTATCATGTTCAATGGGATTATAAACTGTTGACTTTTTTACTCTTTCCTTACTCCCTTTCCCCTTTTCCTTTTCTTTTTCTCTCCAAGTGCCTTGTGTCATTATAATAATGATTATTATAGCTATAAATAAAGGGTATTTCAATTTAATTTTTATTTATCATGTTTGGACATCACAGAAGCACCATTATTCACTTGGAATAATTCCACCAGCAACATGCCCATTGTGTCCATGATGTGGTCACGCAGTCGGCCTTCTGTTTTCTATGTAGCTGATGTGACATCCAAAGTGTATGTGTGGGAGCTGTTGACTAGTCAGGAAGGGCCAGTGGACATTGAACACTTTACAGATGGCAGGTAATTGTAGTGTGTTTTAATTTTGTCTTAATATCCTAACTCCCAAAGGGGGTATGCAAAATCGTTAATATTTGGAGGATTCAGGACTGTTCGGGCTATCAAGGAATTATTGAAAGTTGGAGGAGTTGCACGTGCATACCCCACGTCCATCCACTTGTCCAAGATTTTGGTAGGTAATTAGTTTTAAGTAAATACCAGTGTTGTAGTCAAGTGCTTTTTTCCGAGTACCAAGTACTGCCTAGTACTTAAGTTACTGAGTACAAGTACTTGGTACTTCCGAGTACAAGTACTTGGTACTTCCGAGTACAAGTACAGGTCTCCGAGTACGAATACTTCCGAGTATGAGTACGAGTACTTGTATTACGAGTACGAGTATGAGTATTTCCTTTTCAGAATACGGCCATATGGCAAATGGTTCATTGTGCGTAACTGGCCCAGGCCCAGTCAGAACTGATATGCAGACCCACTCACGGCTAACTGTTAAATGTGTTTGTAAGGGCATGCACAGGGGAAAATCAGGAAACTTTTATTTCTCCGCAAGCCAATCAACCATTTCAAACTGAAAGTATCAATAAAATAAGGCCATGGTAAGTCAAGCTATTCGAGTACTGCTATTCCAGTAAAAGTAGCTTTGATGATCGAGCACAATTTTGACATGTTGAGTACGAGTTCTTTGCTGCCCGATTACGAGTACTTTGCTGCCCAATACGAGTACCGTCATTTTGAGTATAAATACGAGTACTCTAACACTGAGTCCAGTTGTCAATGAATTTTGTTTGGAAAAGTCTCCATTAAGATTGTGTAATGGTATGTTGATAAAAGGGTTGTGAAGGGTACTATTTCAAATCCCAATTAGAGGTTGTAGGAACAACCACACGGTGTTGGGCTAACATGTTTGAGTTGATGGCAAAAAGCAAACCAAAAGTTTGCCAAAAACACTGACAGTCCAGAATGACAGATATTGTCAAAGGCAAGTGTGTAGTGAAAGTGTACCCATGTAGATCAAAAACACAAAATACTTTTTGGGGGGATAGTCTCAGCTCTCTCAGGTGATAAACGAGTACTGTTGAGTATATAAATGTTCAAAATTATATCTCTCCGGGTTGATTTTCCCGGAATTTTCAAAGGAATTAAGTCTTTTTATTTTAACTTCCGGTCTGATGACGTCATCAATTTGTTTTTGTGCACAGGTTTTGTCTGCTTAAAGGTCATCATATGTATTCATTTTGAAGCAATTACCCCAAACTTCGCCACACACATCAACTGAAAATTCATTTTTGACATTTTTTAACCTGCCGCTAGAGGGCGCTCTAACATTTTATGACATCGGTATTTTTTGTAAAGTATAACCTCGCCGGGAACCAGTGTTGTAGTACTTGTACTCGAGTACTACTTGAGTACTTTTTTTGGAGTACTCATACTCGTACTCGTACTCGAATGTCAAAGTACTTGTACTCGAAATGACGGTACTCGTACTCGGGCAGCAAAGTACTCGTACTTGACATGTCGAAATTGTACTCGTTCATCAAAGTACTCGTACTCGAATAGCAGTACTCGGAGGAAAAATGGTATAGCTTGACTTCATATACCACGGCCTTATTTTATGGATACTTTCAGTTTGAAATAGTTGATTGGCTTGAGGAGAAATCGAGTTTCCTGATATTCCTCTGTGCACATCTGGACAAGCACATTTAACAGCTAGCCATGAGTGGGTCTGTATATCGGTCTGACTGGGCCTGGGTTTGGGCCAATTACACACAATGAACCATTTGCCGTATGGTTGTATTTGGAAAAACAAGTACTCCTACTCGTACTCGTACTCAGAAGTACAGCAGGGGTGTGATTTTTCCGGATTTTTCCAGATTTCCGGATTTTTAATCTAACGTCTGCGGACTTTTTTTGCGGACTCCGGATTTTTAACGTTTTATGTTTCCGTAATAATATCGCCCAAAAACCTCCGGCGAAATATAGGCTCTAATTTACGATAATGGATAATGGACTGGTGACAAGTCTAATGCAGTGCGGTCAAGAACCTAATAGACATTAATGCAGTATGCGCAGTGGAGTACTTGAGGACCAGACTAAAAATAATTTTCAATGGGTTTGCAGCACCTCGTGTTTGTATATCGCGTGTGGATGTGTGTGTGTACGTGTATTGTGCATGTATTGTGCAGTGACGATCGTGTGCTAGCAATTCGCAAACACATTGGTGTCAATATTGCCGCGATTTTGTTAAGGAATTCAAGAGTATGGCTGGAAGAACTGGTAATAAAGTGTCACTGTGGATGGAAATCAGTTTGAGCTGCAGTAGTGCTTTGAAAAATAGCCACCACCAACACAAAATTTCTAAAATGTTTTGGAAGCCTAGCTTGGACTGGAGTTTTAAGTAAGATTAAACTTTTCAGCACCGTTCATATTGTTTTGTGTGAATCGTTTCTCTCTGCAACATGCAAAAGTAATAACATCACACACAGAAAAAGCCTTTATGAATCAATCACATATGGATTATATTATTTAATGACCAGACGTTTTTTCTTATTTTTTCCCCCATTGTTTTCTTTACTGAAGTGACAAAATTTGCTAACATTACAGAAATTACAGTACAAAAAATGTACATGCCCGCCCCTAGGCCTATATATGGACATACGTGCATGCATATGTATACATGTACATCTATAAAAGTACATGTACAATAATACATGTACATGTTCATGTACATGTACATATACATGTACATGAACATGTACATGTACATGTATATTACATGTCAACCGAAGTTCATGGATTTTTCATTTTTGTCCAATCACACCCCTGGTACAGTACTTGTACTCGTACTCGTACTCGGAAGTACAAGTACTGGTACTCGGAGACCTTTTCTTGTACTCGGAGGTACAAGTACAAGTACAAGTACTCGTACTCGGCAACCTAAGTACTCGGCAGTACTCGGTTCTCGGAAAAAAGTACTCGACCCACAACACTGCCGGGAACTAACATTATTGAAAGCAAGTTCACATCTTTTTCCACTTTCAAATTATAAGGCACTTCCAGTTTGGAGTGAAAGGAAGGGTCACGTGATTTGGCATGCATGAGATACAATGACGGTCCTGGATTATTCTCACAGTTGATTTTATATTGATTTCAAAAGATTAATCACGTGGTCTCAACATAATATGCATGGCTATGCCACTGTATTGTAAATTTATCAAGTACAATCGTTAAAAACAAGTATTCAAAAAGCTCATATCTCTAAAAGTAAAGGTCACACACCATTGCAATACAAAATATTGCTCGCCATACCATTTCACCCCAATGCGCATGTTTTTAGAGAGGAAAAAAAAACAATTAATAGTCGGGGACTAGAATGCCAAATTTGCTTTAAAAAAGTTTGACCCTACACCATCTCCTCCCCTTAATTTCTTGTTTGTATACGATTTTTGTATTTTGTCTTATTAACAACTGGGATGGTGGAAGAAAAATAAGCCCAGCGAAAGTGTTGTTTTAGGGCAATATTGTTGTAAAAATCCAACGTAAAATATCAGGAAATAAATTGGTCTGGTACCCCTCTCACGAGGCTTGTTTAAAAAAGCTTATTTTTGGGTACCAGTACATCTCTTTAAGGCATGCGGCCAACCTCGTTGCCATGGTCAGCTTGGAGAGCGCACCGCACGTATCACTTCCCAACTGAGTAGCGTAGTGGAGTAAAACGAGTATGGGACAGAGGTTAATTTGTAAAATGGCGTTGAAGCAGAAGCAGAAACAGGCGAATCGCGAGCAGACAGTCAAGAGAATTTTAAATTTTTACTTGTTTTTTTTAGAGTAAGTTGAACCAGTGTTATGTCACATGAATGTTGCCAGAATAAATGAAATTAAATCTTCAAAAAATATCCTTTGTATGTAAACTGTGTCGAGAATACACAACAGATGAATAAAAATTGATCCGCGTACGGTCTTCTGACCGTGAATCCGTCAATTCTGGTCGGGATTTCCGTAGCAACAATCGGTATGGTTATGCGTGTTAACACAGCATGTGCAGAGCTAGTGTCGCACTTTGAATCATATCATCTTGTGATTGCCGAACTCAACTTTTTGTCTCAAGTGTTAACACAACTTCCTTTGAAGAGTGAAGGACGGCTGAACAACAAACGTGGTAAGAAATTATTTTCACTTTTTACTCAAACATGTCAAAGCCTTCGGTAACTAGCAGGCCTAGATTCTCGAGGTGAGTCTGTAGGACTTACGGGAGTGACAAGCATTTGGGTGAGACTTCTTTTCCACAAATTTAAAATAAAATAAAATAAAACTAGAGGTTGTAGGAACAACCACACGGTGTTGGGCCATGGATTACAGCAAACTTTGCCACACACATCAACTCAAAATATGCATGTTTAAATCCATGTTTGACTTTTTCAACATTCCGCCAGAGGGCGCTCTAACATTTGATGACGTCACCTGTAAAATTTTTGTACAGTACTGCGTAGGCAGACACTCAAAAAAAAAAAAAATTTGTTTTTTTCATGTTTTTTAACCTGCCGCTAGAAGGCGCTCCAACTCTTCATAGCGTCACCCATTATTTTTATTATTATTAGGCACTTCCGGTTTCGACCGGAAGGAAGGGTCACGTGATTTGACGCACACAGGATAAAAGGAAGAGCATGTATTATCATGTCGATTCCTGCAAAATTCAAGTTCCGGTCTCTCACGGTTGATTTTATATTGAATTCCACAGATTAAATTTATTATATTTTGAAGTGACGTCACGTACGTGACCCCACGTACGTGACCCATGATGACGTCATGATGACGTAATTACAAAAAAAATACATCTGCAGTGGGTTGGGCATTCGTGTATTGACAATTGAAGTTCATATCACTTTTCTTTTTGACAAACAGTTCCGGAGAAGAATGTGTCTAGGAGAAATAACAAAAATATTGATTTTCAAAGATTAAATCTAAAATTCTTTGGTTACTTGTAATATGATACTTGACGACGTCTAAGTGGT